ACCTTTTATTTTTTTGTATAGCTGGATGCCTCTTTCAGCTGCCAGTTCAACGGGAAATTCAACAAGGCATCCACGGCATCAGCAGATGCAGCTGAGCGGGTTCTGGACAACAACCTGCGCTTGGTTTTGTGCAATGGAAGAATAGTTCGGTCAGTCTGGGACCGTATATATATGTGTGTGTGTGTGTGTGTGTGTGTCTCTGAGGCCTGGCAGACCTTGTTTGTGTCCAACGCTTGACACCCTTCAAAGAGTTTCTGTGGCGCTCGTCAAAAACAAACGACAAAATTAAAATAATTCCCCTCCCTATTTGCCGTCTCCGCTGCTGCAGTAGGTTTGCATGGGCGGCGCTGTGATGCTCCCATGCAGGACTGAAACCGAGCGTTGGATTCTGATCTTTGCTCCTGTGCGTATGCAGAGATGAGAGGCCACGGGTCAAAGTGATTGGGACTGGGGAATTGCCGGGCCAGAGAGCGGACACCCATCAGAAGGAGGCGGTCAAGGTCAAGGTGGAGCGCGGAGAGCCAGGGGACAAGGCCAGAGCACTGAACGGTAGGTCACGCTGTACCCATGAAATCGACAGGGCCGTGAAATGGGAACCACTTGCAGAGTGGTCTGCTCCCTGACCCCAATGTGGGAGGTGAGGGGTTTAGCTTAGGGGTTAGTGCCAGTGTCCTGGAGGTCATGGATTCTAATCATGTGGCTGGTAGAGTAATCAAATGATTGTTTAATCCTTGGGCGAGGCCCGTAACCCCAAATGCTATTTGTGTGTTTGTGCCTCTCATGGAGAGCAAGTTAGGATTTGTGAAAAATTTCCCCATGGGGATGAATTAAGTTACATTCTATTGTGGTCTTTATTGGACACCACAATAAAAGAGGATGTGGTTTGTGTTCATTTGTTTTGTCGTTAATTTATCTCTTGAAGGGTTTTTCGAAGGCATGAAATCTGAACTCAGGAATGGAGCCTCGGCGCACTCAGACACGTCAGACTCCAGCTCAGAGGAGAGTTGCACTACACAGGTACGCAGCTTGACGTCCTTCAGTAATGAGGAGGACCATTCTGTAGTGTGTGACTGTAGGGCTTTAACTAAGGTCTTTCTCCAGCAGAGAGACTCTTCAGAGGAAGACTCAAGGAGCTCTGAGGAGGAAGAAGAGGAGGACACAGGGATGAAGGTTTCCTCCCAGAACCTGACCCAAAGAGGCTCAGTGGGCTTCATGAACTTTCAGCAGGCAGGACCAGAGTCCAGGCAGCAGGATAGATCTCTAAAAAGGTGGGTGGCCAAGTGTGAGGTTCAGTCTACTGTCTTGCTACTGCTGTTGGAGCTCTTCCTGAACGAGAGGTTTTATGCAAGATATTGGGGTGGCACGGTGGTGCAGTGGTTAGCACTGTTGCCTAACAGGACCAGGGTTCGAGTCTCTGCCATGGATCCATGTGTGGAGCTTGCATGTTCTCCCTGTGTCTTCCTGTAGTTTCCTACAGTACTCTGGTTTCCCCACACAGTCAAAAAATATGCTAGGGTTAATTGGAGTTACCAAATCGCCCATTGGTGTGAGTGTGCCCTGCGATGGGTTGGCGCCGCACCTTGGATTGTTCTTCCTTGCGCCCATAGTCTCCAGAATTAGCTCCGGACCCTCAGTGACCGTGAATAGGAGAAGCGGTTCCAGGAAATGGATGGAGGAGTACAGTAGACTTGTAGACTTCTCTGAAGTCACCATGTTCCATCTAGTCCCCTGTTCTAGTAGCATCTTTAGATGCTCAGCAGTTTCATGACAAAATACCCATCCTCAGATATTCAAAGCATGAAAATGATAACTAACAAGTAAATTTTACTTATATTATTCATTTGTTATAACTTCCCAGTTATTCCTACTATGAATTTACTTATACAAAAAGATCTTGTACGGCGAGATGCTGACAGCGTGTAATTCCATAAAAATGTGTCCATTATAATATTGAGTCATGGCTTATTGTGTAACAGTGAGGAAGTAGTAACAAGTGATCCACTAATTTGTGTGATGAGGGAAGAGTAGTCAGTGATCGATTCAGTCACACGGTCATTTTCAGATTGATGCTCCATTCGAGCTGCGTCAAATAAACCTGCATGTGTCTCATCAGAGAACGTCCCACCTCGCCCAGCACTGAAGCGGCCATCCAGGGAATGCTGTCCATGGCAGGGCTGCTGGAGCCGCAGTTTCCCGAGGGAGAGACCCCCAGCTCACAAGACCCCTGGTGGTCCAGCCCAGCCCATCCATCTCCTGACTGCGGTACTTACACAAGCTGAATAGTGTGCGTGTGTGTATGCGAGTGAATGACAGTGAGCAAGCACATGACCTTCCTCTGCCCACAGGTGGCAGGGAACATTCCTCAGGAGAGGACAGCCAGGGAGACTCGGACTGTAGCTCCAGCCTGGGTCATCAGGTAACCGTCAGCCCCTGCCCGCTGAGCCTGTCCGTGTCTGGAACTGAGGGCAATCAGAACCTGGTGACCCAGCTCAATTACTCTCTTGTGCTCAGTCACTGTATCTGGTCCCCTGAGGCTCTGGAAAAGGAGGGAGGGATTTACTCTGATCCCTAATCTCTGTGCTCATGCCCCAGGACAAACAGCGGGCTCCAAGGCACCTGCTGAAGGAGTGCCAGGCCCAACTCCGGCAGCGGATCCAGGAGAATAAGAACTTCATGGACAGCGGAGGTGGCAGAAGCGAGGCCTGGGTCGACCAGCACCTCTCCTCAGACCCTGGCAGCCCCCTGCACCTGGAGACGGACTTCCAGTACAGAGAGACCTCACTGTCGCCGCCGCTTCACCCCTCCAAGCGGCCTGCCTCTAACCCACCACCAATCAGCAACCAGGCCACCAAAGGTCTGTGAGAACGTGCAGGCGTGCTTATCCGCTTGTTTTGGACGTCCCGGTCTGTGTGCCCTGCAGTGTGACAGCAAGACTTGCTGCCAATCTCCATTATGGAAGTGAGATTCACGTTTGTCATGGTTTTGATTTGTAATGTTTGATGCCTACTTTTCTTGTGGCTGTTTCCACAGGAAAGCGGCCTAAGAAAGGCATGGCCACCGCCAAACAACGCCTGGGCAAGATCCTCAAGCTGAACCGGCACAATCGCTTCTTTGTGTAGTGGAAGGAGAAGGCAGGGCAGGGAAGAGTCGGACTTCACACGGGCCCCGTCTTGAGATGCTCATGCTCTGTTGACCTCTGCCTGGAAGCCCATGCCACAAGTTTAAATGTCAGGGTATCAGTCTTAATCCTGCAAGTGCACGCACGCACGCACATACACGCGCACAGACAGACGCAAGAAACCTCAACGACGGAAACTCTTGAGCGAGTTGTCCTCGGTGGTGGGCAGTTTTTGCGCCGGATCGAAATCCCAGGTCAATAGAAGCTGAAGGCTTTAAGCAGAGCTCCGGAGAATCCAGCTGCTTCTGCGTAAGAGCGCCATCTGCTGGTGCTGTCATGGGAGTGTACAAGGAGCAGTGCATTATGACAAGCAACCAGCCAATCCGTACTTTCATGCCACAATGTTCATACCTTGGTTGCAGGCTTCTATGGCTGAAACTACTTACTGCTTCCGCCCGTTCTATCAGCATAATTCCTCCATTACCAAGCCAGTGTGGGCACACACAGTGTTATGGATGGTCCCGGAATGCAGTACTAAGTATCTAAGACTGTCTTTCTTTAACATATCTGGCTTTAGACGAAGAAGGGTGCTAAGGTATTGAACTAATCTCAAAGAAGGTGCTTGAAACTTTATCGTTGCCTGCCGCTCCATCACAATCACACCAGCAATATCATGTAATACAGGAGATTTTGACATGCATTGTTGATGGAGGTGCAGAGTGTCCTGTCCCTCCCATTGTGCTGTTTGTATCGCTATGGAACAGGTGTAGTCAAGCGACGTAGATTGGCTGGAGCCATTAGCCTGACCACCTCACCCAGCCGGGACGCTATCGTCACTCGTGTTTGCCGAGTGCGCCGCAGTGCAGCCTGCTCGTCCACTTGCATCCCTCTGGCTATGAGCGAGGAGCAACTGCACATCAGACACCTTGATTTGTTGTTTTCGGTGAGGAAAAGCCATATGCACCAGAAAGCCATATCTCCATGGCAATGCTTTAAGGAGCCAGTGCTGTGTCTCTGTGTGTTTTCTTTGTATATTATCGAGGGTCAGTTGAAACCAAATCAGGGTTGAATAGTGCGGAGGAGGAGGCCGTGTCGTGACCAATCAAGACGACTGTTTGAAATGAGCTCATTTGGCGCCACCTACAGGACACGAGGCGACTGCAAGAGCGTAATGTTTTCTATGACTATTTACTTTAAAGCATTATGTAATGTATTGAGAATGACACTTTCTCTGCTTTATTTCATCATTCAATCCCTTTTGTAGCTGTTTTGTTTTTATTTCTTTGGAAGACACCTTCATTTTGATTATTTATGAAAAGGTAATTGTACTTTTTCGGCCTGTGGGCTGAAAGGTTTGTAGCTGAAGATGGTCATGTTGCCAGGGCTCCCACAGCACTCACGTTCCGGCATGTAAATGCAAAGGGGGTGCGTTAGCTGTCGACAGTAGCGACGGCAGCACAGAGTAATAGCATGCCTGTGCTTGTTTACATTACTAACCCTCCATGGTCATACGTTCTCGGTAGTATTTTGTTACATATTAACTCAGTGTCGGCCTGTGTCTGGGATGTATTTGCTGAATGGGTTTAATACTGTTTGAATTTAGAGATTTTCTCTCGTATAAAAGACAAGGCTGGTTCTGGACACATTAGTAGAAATGATTGCATAGGCAATAATTTCTGAACTCATAAGTTACAGCATAGGCAAAATGGCTTCTCTGGTTGAATGTCTGATTAGACCCACAGATACAATGCATGTTATTTTTAGGCACTACACATGAAACTGCATTAACTGGATAGGGACCTTGCAGGCCCAGTAGCATCAATGATAGCCAGCATAGATGAATTTCAAACAAGATGTCATTCCATCTTCCAGAGGAGTCCAGCTCTTTGAGATTGTGTGTTTATATATAATCTCCCTTCATTTGGTTAGGATTTTGCCCTATTTTGGCTTCAGACCTCAGGTTCATCAGAATTCCTGGTGCAAAAATAAGGGAAACGACCCCCCTTGGTGACTGCCAAAGCTGTGACTTGGGACCGGTGTAGGGGGGCAGTCTCTCAGGGATTACTGCCACTGTCATCAACAAGATCCTTTCTGATTTCACCACTAGCAGCGTGCAGTGAGGCATCTATCCAATCGGAATGTGTTTTCAAACTCATCGCTCACATATAATATTTGGGACATTTATTTGGTCAACCTGTGTTTCTTCAATGCTTCTCTTAAGGGTTTTATGATGGGGAAACGGGAACCACATTCCATCAATCCATCTTCTAATCACTTCTCCTGGTCAGAGTCATGGGGAAAACCACGTTGTTTGTAACTTGCTAAACGTGCTTTAATCTTGTGACATTTTACCCACCCTCACACATATTCAGATGTAGGTCTTTGTCGGAAAATTCTCAGTTGTCGTTACCATAGAAACCCCATGAACCGTCCTTCTATAGTTCTTTGGTTGTTCTTTTGAACAGTTCACACTTTTTGAAATTTTTGATTTTACTGAAGAAAAAAAAATCCTCCTCATACCTTTCTGGTACTGCACTTGTCTTACCAGCATAAAGCAAACCAATGAGAGTTAAAACACAGCTTGCAGCAGTGAGCAGAAAGCTCTCCATGGCAGGAAAGGAGGGCCTCCGATGTCGGGATGGTTCGAAGTCAGAGGTCTGCGGCTTGCTGAGCTGCATTGCACTAATTGCATCCAGTTTGTAGCTCTGAATGCGTCAAAGGGCTATTTACTTGGCCAGTTAACTGATGTTTTTTAAAAAAAAAAAAAAAAAAATCTTCGGAGTGAGATTGTTTTTGAGCTTCTGGTTCACAAAAACCGAAACCTGATCAAAAACGAACCAAACTTCTCTCTGTCCTCCCACACAAATGTGCTGCATCAAAGTGCTTAAAAGACACATTGCTTCTCTTTAACTATGTTCCTGTAACACTAAACTAACAATTTTCAAATGTTTGCATTAAATTAACTTCCACCACATGTGTGTTCGTGGCTGGCCTGCAGGCAGGGTAGATTTCCTGTAGTACTATTAATTGTACAGTATTTATTTTGCTTTTGCATTTAAAAAAATCTATTTGCAATTGTGGTCTGTTTTTGATGGTCATGTACTTTTTTCTTGAATCCTGGAATTGTTTTGACGTTAAAGATATTTTCATACTTGATTTCAAACATAAAAAGCTTAGACCTTGTGACTTTATCCACTGCAGTGCATTTTTGAATATTTTGAATTTCTGCAGTCAATAATGGCCTGTACATATTAAAAATTCTCATTGTTTCCAGTTGTGTTCTTTAGGCTGACGTGAAACATAACACCTCCCATTTATTCAGTCTTTGGTTGTTTATAAACTGTGAGCATTCAAGTGGATTAATGTCTCAGGTTATAAGTGCAGCTACCACACAAACAGATGAAAGCTCCCGAATCACCACTAGAGGGAGATCGAGTTATTCGGAGCAATGCTGGCTTTCTAGGATCATGCAACAAAACGACCTGGGCTGAGAAATCTCCATAATCTGAAAACCAGCTGGAACAGGTAGAACGAGTACAGGAAAATGTCTATTTTGTCTTAGTGGTTATGAAGATGATCTCTCATTCAGTAGCTGCTCTCTGTGACTAACAGCCAGTGCCTTTAGGTTACAACTGAATGCTGTGGCATCATCTGTCACTTATTCTATCAAATAGCATGCAGGCGTGAGACTTCTAATATCTGCCGGAATTATCAAGCGCATGACAACCTGTCAAGCCAGATCTGTGGCAGCTAGCTAATCAGCACAGCTACAGTGACCATCCCAGCAAAATAGTCGAGGTCATTTAAACTGGAGAAACGGGTTCATTTATGTCAAAACCCGTTTGCTCGGTACATTCACCCTATTTACAACTTTTTAAATATAACACATGTAAACATCTCTGAAAAGACCCCGTTTGCTGCACTGACAGTCCTGTCCCTGCAGTTGCATCATGCAAGAAGGACCTGCATCCCCATTAACTGACAGGCCCCACCTACCATTCAGATAGGGGGGAGATCTGCACCCAGGGCATCAACGTCAGCTACTATCTGCATCAGCTCCTTAAGGTTTACCAGCACAATAGCAGAGAGCTCCTACGAATGTGCCTGATAACCTTGCCTGTAATTTTTGCATGCCTTCTATCCTGTTTCTAACAACCTAACTGTCAAACCTCATTGCTAATAAGAAGACAATAGCACCCCCACTGCACCTGAACTGGATGATCGTTCATCTTGTAAAATCCATAGGGCCGAATGGAAACAAAGGCACAGCAATTCTGTCACTATGAATTAAACTGGGCCAATCCGCAGCACTGCAGCCTAAGGTTAAAATTTTGATTATATTTTTAATGCATTTTTTAAGTGCTGATATTCCGATGCCGTTTCTGCAACTAGAGCATCAACACATGGAAAGCACGTCGCCCAGCAAACTGGGGTGTATTAATATAAAATCTAACGCAATCACTCATCACATTTGGCCCAAATATAAATAATGATGATTTAAAAAAATCACTCGCGGACAGAAGAACCTCGACCCGTTCGTCACTGACAACATGGCGGACCGAGTCGCTTATGGGTGCATACGCCAATTAACCAGAAACACACAAAGCTCCAACCCGCAGTAAAACTCACAAACTTCAAGGCAACCTTGGAGTTAGTAATTTTAAAGACACCGACCAAGCCTTCCCGGCCGCCGCACGGCTCGTTTTCCTCGAATGCTTGGTCAAACACTTCATCGGAGTCCATCTGTCAGCCAGTCCGATTGTACATACTCGGACCCAGCGCCATTCGCTTCTCACACTAACAAATGGGGCTTCGTTTTTCTTTAACAAAAACGCTATGGGCAAACTGGACGAGTCCTTCATTAAAAGGACTTATTTCCTGTTTTTACTATACAAGCAAAACAGGAAGCGCGCTCCCAATACCGGGGGGGCGCCGCCCAGTAATAAGTGCACGCTCCCGACATTCACTGAAGGCTGACATCGAACGCCATCTTATATGACTTTTATGTCCTTGCCTTAACTAGAAACATGTCGCAGTTACACAATTCTTTAACCTTATTGATTACGTCAAGTATGAAAGTTGCAAGCACACGCTTATAATCTCTGAACTATATTCACCATAGGCACATCATACGCCGCTCAAAGTAGGGCTGTTTCACCTCTCGTACCACTTTCCCCTCGCAGCTCAGAGCCCGCCCATCCATCTGACGGCATTGACAGCCAATCACTGCTCAGCGAGCAGAAACGCGAATACATTATTGGTCGGACGTTTCGTCAATCTCTAAAGCCGGACACTACGGAGACAAGAAGAAACTGCCGACATTGAAGCGTCATCTTGCAAAATTAGAAGACTCTCCAACGATAGCTTTGCATCCCCAGACTTCTCACTTTCGAATAATCCAACACTCAGATTCCACGAACCGTATTTTATTAATAACATTGTAGGGGGAAAAAGTCACCTAGTTTTTGTAGTAGATCAGTTAAGAAAACGTCGATTAACTAGTAGCATTTCTTAATGAAACGCAGACTGTATAATTTTTGCTTCCGAACGGCAGAAGAAATCCGGTATGAAAAACGGCTCGCCAACAGAATTCGTCGTGATCTTTTTCCTTTTCCCCCGGACAGCTTGTTTGCCCATCGACGAGGAAAAGCAGGCAACCTAGAGACTTATACAGCGTTGCGGAGAGCGCATGCGCCAGTGACTGCGGCTCGGCCTGATCGATGGCTGTGGGGGATGGGGCTGGAGTGGAGTGTGTTAATAGGGCAAGCAGTCTGCATTTCAGAAATTCTTTAAATATGTTCGTAATGTGCATTACTTATGCGTAAGTCAAACACTGCTCTGTGTGCGATAACTGCTTCCATGCGTTTTACAAGATATATAAATATTTACATTGGTTGTATATCATGGCACAGTAATTTATGGAAGTGTACCGACGTTAACCAGTCAGTACAGGTTGGTGGTCCTCCAGGTGAAGGCTTTTAGTGCCTTTTTTGGCGTTTTCTTTTCGGTACACTGTATACTGTCACTATACACATTTAACGAATTTATACTTGCGTTTTAGGTACGTTTCAGGTTTAAATTTCTTTGGTTTTGTGTCTTTTTCAGTTTCTCCATATCTGCGTGAGCAGAAGGCTGCTGTTTGTCTTTATGATGGTCAGTCGGTGTTACGGAGCTCCGAGCCCCCTCCTGTTGAGGAAGAATGCTCCCTTGTATAAGACAGTTATGTAAGGCTGAGCGGAGGACTAACATCCAGCTTGTACAGCTTAGTCAGACTGTGTGTGTGCGCACAGTTCACTATAACCTTGGTAAAATCCAGAAAGGACCATTTTTAGGCCAAAGGTGAAAACATACAAATGATTTTTAAAAGGATATATTGGTAGTAGACTGGGGGCATTGTGGCTCCGTGGGTGTCACTATCTCACACCACGGGCATTGGGGGTGTCTAGGAATCATAAATCACCCGTAATGTCTGAGTATGTAGAAGCCGTTCACCGAGGAAATACCCCAGCCTTGTGCCCCTTAAAAACGCTTTACCCATACCCAGGATGAGTGCTTAGGTCACGGATGGAAAATAAATGGCACTAAATATACATATATTTATTATATAATGGGTACTGCTAGATTGATCTAACATTAGAAAATTAAATGTGTGACGCTCAGCATTGCTCTTGTAGTTAACTTGGCCACAAACCAATGATTTTTTACAGTAAAGTTATAACGAGAACACCTTTTCTCAAAAAAGTCACGTGAGAAAGGACGGAAAGGACAGACAATCCAGCGAGTTCCTCGCATTCATGCATCAACAATACATGGCAGGTATATACCTGTTAGATCATTATTTACTTACAAAAACACGCAATAGGAAATAAGCATCTGAGCATGCATTAGCTATTTTGACTTACAAAAATAATCCAGCCCATTCGGTATTAATAGCAATACAGTATTTTTATTCACTTCGTTCAGCCTTGTCACGAATTGCTGTTTGTGATGTGTGTTTTTCTGCTTCTGCTGTGTTATCTGCCTCACTTGTATTTCGCTCTGAACAAGCTTCGAATAAACGAACAAATGTAAACATTTTAAGCAAAGGGTTCAGTATCTTTTGTGTTAACCCGTGTGTGAAAAATTTGAAATTACAATAACGGGATTCGAGGATTTAGTGTGTCCTGCCTGTTGCTGGACCTTGGTTGCACCAATCAGTGTTAATACAGCTGTACAAACTTAAAAGCCGAATTAAATAAACTAAACCTGACTTTCCACACCGTAGGCAGGAAATGCCCTGTTTACGTATAAACACCGGTTCCCCGAGTCTGGTATGTGTCAAGGAGTTTTGTAAGCTGAGATTGCACCAGACAACCGTGTCTGCGAAGCATATAAATAAAATTAACTTGATTTACTCGATGCAAACCGTCTGTCTTTTCTGCTTCTAATACCTTTGGGTTTAAATATGTAAATAGTGCACACAACAAAGAACAAATGAAGGATATATAAAGATGAGCCTCGTCCACTCTATTTGCAGTGAAACGTTCTCGGTCCTTCGACGGTCGCGTGATTTTCCCTTCACCTATCTTAAGGCTGTTTGTTTATACGTGTACATACGTAGCAGTATATGGAAGTCGCCAATTCGAGTAACGTTACTCGAATAACTTGTTTTCAGTTTGCAGATTTCGCTACATTAAATTAGTCTCACTGAACAGTTTAATATATTCCGTTTTTTTAATTAGGTGTTTCGTAAAAAAAGAAACCCTGGCAGCACTCGGCCAAGAAACAATTTTGGCCACGAGTATTCAGTTTTTCCGTTTGATCCAATACATCCTAGGCGGAAAGCAATTGCGAGCCCATTTCTGGCGAGCGAAGCGCCGCTTATAACGTGACACGTCCCCTCTTCTCTGAACGCGCCATCGCCACCAATGAACTTTCTCTGCTTGAAAAAAAGCCACCCCTGTAGATGTGGGTTCGTGAACCCCGCAGGGCGTGGAGGCGGGGCCAGCGGGGGGAGGGCGGAGCCACAGCGGCCTGCCAGAGAGCCGCCATTTTTGCAAAGGGAAAAGAGACGGGGGTGAGGGAATCTAGTTTCCAACACTCATCACGGATAGGACGGAGGGGAATTAAACGGTTCTGATGTTCTCATAAAAAACACAGAGTAGCCACATCAGGGTGACGTGCAGAAGGTAGTGTGGCCGTCGGGGGGTGTTTTCTTTTCCGCGGAGTAGGACTTAGGCTGAGTGTCTTCCCTCCTTGTACCCTCGCAGTGGAAACAGTAGTATTGTTTTGATTGTGTTCAAGCGGCGGGGGTCTTAGCCGGTTCCCTTGGTCCTGTATCCGCAGCATCTACCCTGGACATACCGGTGAGTACCTTTCCTTTATACACACTCTATTAATTCGGCCTTATTTCTTTTTCCTAATGCCACGTTGTTAATAGGAAACCTAATCAAATTACATCCCAGTGTTTTCCCCTGACTCGCTATCTAGCCCGCTGTCTGTCCCTGCTAAAGTGAACGCCTTTCGGTTTTTCATATATTTGTTTAAATGTGACTTGCCGCCGCCGCCAGCTCGAGCTGCTCCCGTGCGGTCCCCAAGAAGGCACGCGGGCTCTGGTGCAGCCTCACTGCCGGGCGACGTGACAGCTCTGCGAGTTGGGAAACCTGTTAGGACACGGACGCTTGTGGGATGTCTCTGTGTGCACAATTAGCCGTAGGTCTTAAGTTTGATCCCCCCCCCCCAAAAAAAAAACCCCCCACTAATAAACTGACGTCCTGCGATCGGGTTCGTTGCTCTAAGGTTTTAAGAGATAAAAAGTAGTGCACCACCTACAAGTGACGACTTGCCCGGGGTGACTGCTTGCTGACTGACGTCTCCTCACCTGGTTTTAGGTTTAGCTGCAGGTCGGAAATGTGATTAGTATGATTAGTATGTCGGTCAGGTGTTGAGGAGGTGACACTGGCTGTGGTATCAAACAGCAGCTCTGCTGTTTACGTAGTGTGGAGCCGTCTGTTTTGTTAGTTCGAGAAAAAGCCCTCTTTTTTTTGGAGGAGGGGGGATAATGGTCGTCCCTTTTATGGAGAGGTGTTTCTTATACGTGAGAGCGAAACAAGAAATAACGAAACCGCGCTGAAGGAAGACGTTAAGACTGGCATCCGCCCGGTTCACGCTGGTCTATGATCAGCCTCTACAATAACCTTTTCATACATAAAATACCTTCCCTGGATTGAAGAAGATTGAGCGGGTTATATGACTGTACTGCAAATGTAGGGGGAGGGGAGAGGACTGAAACAATATTCTCACCCCAGATCCCTGTTACAATGTATAACAATATACATGCACGCTACCAAATGACAATGAGGATCATAATAAGGCGTTAACGCAGTCATGCAAAGGCACTGGCTTGTGGTTTATCTGAACTCGCCAGATGCATTGTCGGTGGTCCTGGACGATCGGCATAAGCCTCCTGATCAATGCGGCTCAATATGCACATGGAGTCGAGTCGCCGTAGCGCTCATCCGGTTTTATTTTATAAAGCGGATAACAACCTCACACCCAGACCAGTCAGCTGTGGTCGTCCCCATTCCTATTTACCAAGGGCAACAACACTGCAACCGCAGAGATAAAGATTTGAACACCGAGCCGGGGGGTCCGAAACTCGCCTTTATTTCCCGGCGTTTCTCCCATGAAACAGTCGCACACCACGGCGACAGAAATTCGCTCCCCGTTTGACCGTCGCTTCCTCATCCGACGGCGGCGTCCGGCGGTCGCGCAGCCCGTGTCGCCGGGCAGAGACTGTGGGGAGAATGGCGACTGTGGATGATGTTTATGGTGACTGAAGCTACTCGTCCTTCCACGGCCCTGCCGGCTGGGTTTGACTGCAGCGCCGACATGCACGCCGACGCGCTACTGCACGAGCCCCCCCCCCAAGGAAAAAAATACACATTTACCATTTTTGTTCACCTGGTGTTGCAACACTCGACAGAAGTGGAAGTCTCCATGTTAGGGGAATATTCGTTTTGTGTGATGCGTGGCTCTGGTTATCTGACATGCACGCAATCGTGTGTATTTTTATGCAGATTCCATTTATGAGGGAATAGTTTGAGCGCCCATTGTAACCTTACCGTTTATGTGCAAGGTGCTGAAACGCCTCTGGCTCCAGCTACAACATGCGCTGTCAGTGACATGACGGTCGATGCTCGCTTATTGGGCTAATTTCGTACAAACGGAGCCAGCGCATCAATCCTCCCCCGTCCTGCTGTATGTGCCTGTCAGTGTCGCATGGTATTTACAGCAGCGGCGGATGAGGATTGTCTGCCTTTCCAGTAGTAACGGGATCTGACTCCCGCACCGGCGGCTTTTCATAACGTGGGCTTATGTAAAGAGAACCGAAACAGGTTACCGCGGTTAAAAAAAGAACAGTGAGAGATTTACTGTGACCTCTCCGCCCTTTCCCCTCGCTCCCTTTGTGTATCCCAGTCACACCTGACTCCTGACCAAAAATGATGTGCTTTCGGTAGTCTGGGCTCTGCAGACGGATGTTCAGTGATCATATTCAGTTATCTTATCAGATTAAATCCAGGAACAAAAGATTTATATGACCATTAGAGCATCGTGCCATTTTTATGTACTGTTGATGTGAGTGGTAAGAAATATTTCCCACCATAATTGACTTAATACGGTCATTGTTATATTTAAATCCATTTCAGTATCTGTAGAGTCTGTAGGTGATCCTGAAGGGACCCATTCAGATGATGTATCCCCGTGATTCATTTCCCTTCATTTTTTCCCATCTTCCGTTATTAATTTTACATGTGGATTTTGGGACACCTCAATTCTCAGTAAGTGTAGCCGTTTGTTAGCCGATCGGAGCTCGACCCGTCAGGTTCGGGGGGTGGGGGGTTTGTGTGGCTTGGGGCATTTCTTTCCAAAGACATGCTGTTGTATGCGAGGTGGTTCGGTTGGGTGTGCTGGTGGACTGCATATGAATCAATGATTGCTGGATTAACAGCTGTAGCTTATGGTGTCCTTTGACATTGACTGCTGCTCCCCCCCCCCCCCCCCCCCCCCCCGCACAGATCAGTGTAGGCTCAGTGTGGGTGCACATATTCAGCTGGATAAACGCCAAACTGATCTATTGGTCTTATTTTCTGAAGGCGGAGGGCACCAAGACAACAGGGGGCGCTGTCCCCACTGTCAGGATTTTGGGGCCTGTATTGTTCATCTTTGCCCAATGGTGACCAACAGCTGGCACAAACAAAAGTCATGTTTCTATAAAGATGATGGAGCTATCGCTGTTCGGGAATCCCTGCAGCATGTTCGGGGAGCATGTCTGTGCCTTCCCAGTACTGGCTAGAGCATTTCCAGGCTGCATTCAGAGCTCTTCACTTGGCCCTAGAAGGAGTTCAGGTACCCACCCTGTAACAAATTAACAGAGTATCTTCGCACTTCCTTCCCAGATGGTCCACAAGCCAGGGTAAATCTGGAGACGAGTCATTTCTGAAGAGATGCCAGTTTGAAACCATTTAATCTATATGTTTAATTCCCTTCAAATGATTTCCCCACGTTTGTTGATTCTGCGGCCGGTGTGGAGTGACTGTAGAGTAGCAGAGACCCAGGACCACGTTCTTCTTGGATGGAGGATGGTGTAAGCGAGCGGTACTGATCCAGTCTGATCTCAGATCAACTGGAATGACAGTGCCTTTTCTGCAGCACCCCTCTGGATGGCAAATGATGCTGTTCAGTTGTGCTCCATGTCTGTGTACCTGTTTGGACTGATGTTGACCTCATGGGCTGAGTTTGGGGGAGGTGTGGTTTTCATGCATTCTGTTTTTCTCCTTTAGCAGGTTATTGGCTGTGATCTTTTTTTTTTTGGGGGGGGGGGGTGTTTGTTTCCACGCCACTGTGCTGATTCCCTGAATAACGAAGACCAGTATTAATGGTTATAGACCATTAAGGAATTAGTACCTGTCAAGCCATTTTAAGGGATGCTAGAATTCAAATATATCATAGCTGTCTGTATTTTTATACATACTTATCACTCTGTGTGTGTCATGAAGTAAAAAGTCTTCCATACTAAATATGCTTAAATCAATATGGTTTTGACTGACAAATTAAAGTGAGCTTTAATAGGCATTTTGGGTGTTTGCGGTTGTATTAAAACAGGCACAGAATGTAGCTTATCTGTATACCAGGGGTGTCAAACTGCAGTCCTGGGGGGACACAGCCCTGTGTAGCTTAGCTCTTTCCCTGTTCCACCACAAATGATTCAGCTCAACGGCTATATGGTAATTAGCACAAGAAGTTGAATCAGGTGTGTTAAACGAGGGGAAACCCAAAAATGTACAGAGCTCTGGCCCCCCAGGACTGGAGTCTGACACCTGTGCTTTATACAATAGAGATTAGAAGGTTGTGGTCAATTTATCTACGCTGTAGATGCTAAATTAAATTTAATGTCCCTTAATGTACATGCTAAAGTAGTCCAGTGTGCCTTCATATGCATGCTAACATAATCCAGCATGTTTTAATTTGCATGCTTAGTCCACTGTGTTTTAATATAGATGCTGACAATACTCCGCTGTGGTTTAATGTGCAAGCATAGTTTGCTCTGCCTTAATGTGCCTTATTGCAAATGCTAATGTCATCTACCTTGCTTCAATGTATACGCCGATGTATTCTGCCGTGCCTTAATGTACATGCTAATGTAATCCTTTGTGCCTTAGCGTGCATGCTGATGCAGTCTGCTGTGCCTTAATGTACATGCTAATGTAGTCTACCGTGCCCCATGCCTTAGCGCTCTTGCTGACGGTAGGCGGCGCTGCCTTAGCGCGCGTGCTGACGGTAGGCGGCGCTGCCTTAGCGCTCTTGCTGACGGTAGGCGGCGCTGCCTTAGCGCGCGTGCTTGACGGTAGGCGGCGCTGCCTTAGCGCTCTTGCTGACGGTAGGCGGCGCTGCCTTAGCGCACGTGCTCATGGTAGGTGGCGCTGCGTTAACGCTGTTGCTGACGGTAGGCGGCGCTGCCTTAGCGCTCTTGCTGACCGTAGTCCACCGTGTTTTAATCACAGTATGACCTGTGTTTCTTTATTGAAGTAATGACTGATTAAAGTGTGAAATCAGAAAAAATGTTCACTCTTGAAAAGCCTGTTTTCTATCTGTGCGTCTGTCTGTCTGAACACGACATATGGTGTTTGTGCAAGGCCACATACAAGCACAATCTCCTTTTTTTAATTTGGCCATGGGCTCTGTTCAGTCAGAGAGCAATGGGGATTTGCAGGGCCCCCCCCATGTCAGCCTCCACCCCCTCGAGGGTGAGTTTGCTGCCTGTTTGTTTCCCCTCCAGCTGTGGACCCCCCCCCCCCCACACACACACACACACCCCACCCAGCCAGCTGCTGGTGTATCCTGGACTGTTCCTTTACCTCAGCCAAGCCCTCAGCTGCGCTCGTAATCCCATTGCAGCTCCTGTGGTCCTGCTGCGCTGCGCGTTCTCTGTGCCCCCCCGACCACTCCCCCCGCTCACGTCCTCAGCAGGGAATACCTGTCTTGGGTTCTCCCTCCTCGCAGATCCTCCCGACAGCACTGCGGGGGGGGCTGCTGCTCTTAAGGAGGGGTGTCGTGTCGGAGTGCTGAGGTGAGTCAGCTCCCCAGTTTTGCTGTCATAAATAAATATTTTTCCCACGTATCTCCTCCTCTTCGCCATAACAAGCGCTGCCCCTGTACTGCCATTTCCGTTTTTCCAGTCTGCGCCATTCACTGCGTGACGTCTGCGTTCACCTTTACCAGATGCGCAGCTGCCTCAGTTGCTCAGGTGACAGGTCACACGTGAAATGGTACATCTCAGGAGTGTATGGAAAAGCCCCCAACCACAGCCAGGCTGAAAGTATAGAAGTGGGATGATCCACTAGGGGGGCGCCATTCTACGCAGTGTGGTTCTCACAATCCTGCTTCTGGATGGGATCCTATCTCTCGCTTTGCCCTGTCCTGCGTAGCTCTCCCCCCATAATGTCTGGCACATGAGCCTTAGAGCGGAAACCCAGGAAACAGGAAGTCTCTGCCGCCGTGGTAACGGGCCTGCTACAGAGTGCTTTGGCGACAGCTTGGCAGACTCCTTGTGGGGCGGGAGGCCGCAGCCCCACCCCAGCCTAGTGGGTCGTAACCCTGCGTGGTTTGGAAACTCTTGTGAGCCTGTGGCGTTCAGCTCCCGCTCTCAGCCGCAGCTCTTGGCCACTCGCGCCTGATGTCACCGCGGCTTCTGGTTGGTCTAGACTAGGCTCCGTTCTGTATACAAGGTTCCCTGGTCGGATACCTCAGCAGCAAAGCTCTGGTGCTGCTGGGCCAGAGTGCAGGTCCTGTAGGGACGTTTGGACCTACCGCGCCCTGAAACAGAGAACGGTGAGCTTGGTTTGCTGCTTTAGAATAGATGATACTATAGAATACTAGCAGTCAACCTTGTGGGGAAACTGGGTAGGATATATGAGAACTATCTTACTTTCCGTAAGAGACGGTTTTGTGGTGAAAGCAATGGGTCAGACGTTTATCTAGCACCCTTGCAGTGGTTTGTGGGCAAGGTAAGGAATTTTCCAGGCCCAAAGGTGATATGATTTTTTCCTGCTGTGGGATCCAAACCCACAACCTTCCGGATATGGGCAAATGTATAACTGGTATATATACTCATGGCTGAGGTGCCCAAATCTGATCACGCTCTGAGCCACCCAGGTCATGGGGAAAAACGCAATTTTGAATGACAGGTCCTGCTTACAAATGTGGATTCTTCCACAAGAGTTTTGGGGAGAATTGTGGTACCTGTAACCTTGGTACGAGAGCCTGTGGAAGCAGGGCATTACTCGCGTTTCTGAGACGGTATCCTAAACCCACTGATGGTTCCTTCTGCCCTTATTGCTTTATCCTCCTTGGCTTCAGGTCTGATCCAGGATTGTTTATCTACAGACCAGAAGTATAAAGCTGCCAGTTAGTGATGCATCTGGACCTGCAGCTGTATGAGGCGATTTTAAGCGCCATTCTGTTCTTTGGTGCGTTTGTTATTGAGTCAGCTTGTTTGTGAGGCTGCCAATGTTCTGGGGGGATTCGTGTAATGAGGTCTTTTGGTTTTTCTGGGTTTTTTGTTTTTTTTGAGGAACCAAAGCTGTTGGAGACCTTCTTTCCGTGGGCCCCCGGAGAGACTCCCGAACCCTGGGCCGCTCCTCAGGATCTGAAGGCAGCTGGATCCCGACGCTGTTCCTCTTCCTCCTGCTAAAACCCATGTTTGTTTAGGAAGTGGAAAACGGAAGGGTAGAGAGAGAGAAGCGGGATGGGGGGGGGGGCTGTGATTCTTTCTGTGTGCCAGTGTTTCCCTGGTGACTGACAGAAGTGGGGGAGGGGGTGTGTGGCCATGGAACTTGAGTTTCATCAGGAATGTCGTACTGCCCCCCCCCCCCCCCCCCCCCCCCCCCCCCCCCCCCCCCCCCCCCCCAACTCCTTCTTGGAGTTTTGTGAGTTTGAGTGTCTGTGTTTGTACATCTGTTCGGGGGGTCGGGTGGGGGGGGGGGATTGCACTCCTGAGCATTTTACCAGAGGGTGTTCTGTTTAAGATTCCACACAAGGCATGAACGTGTGCCCGGCTGACCCCGGCAAAAAGCTCCTTTGTGTGTTCTGTGTTTTTTGGGTTGGAGGTGGACTTTACTTTAATGATGGGTGAAGTTTTCTGTAAAGCGCTGAAATATCTTTCTGTCACACTGCTCCACTGTAACGGTGCGGTGCCAAAATAAACGTCCACCCCGGGCTTTTAGAGAGGATTGCCCGGTGGTGTGGTGTTGCGGGGGGGCGGGCACTCGCGGGTGTCATGCTAACCAGCTAGACAGGAGGAGTTTTGTGCTGGGAAGAGGGTGGTCTCATGGTCACACACACACACACACACACACACAGGTTTGTAATTACATGTTTGTGGGGACTTTCCATTGATTTCTACGGTCAAAATCCCAACAATGAGAACCTTAACCCCTACCCAGCCCCAACCTTCGCCATAAGTAACCAAACAAAATACAAGACATTTTTAGCCTCAGATTTTTATGAAATTGAAGTTCATATGGTGGAGGCCTGAAAAAATGCTTTTATCACATTATGGGGAAATCTGGTCACCACAATGTAATAATTACATAAACGTGTGCATGCGCACACACACGGTCATGCACTGCTATTAATTACACCAAAGGCAGACAGCTGTCGTCTCCGCGAGCCGTTTCCGGCCAGGACCCCCCCCCCCCCCGTCCAGCCTGCCTCCCTTGCCAGGTGTGAGAATGGCCTTGACCTCTGTCCTGTGCCGCAGACCTGCAGGCTGGATGGGTGTCTGCAAGAGCAATTGGTCTCTTCCAGTGAAGAGTCCCCAGGGATTTGCTGATTGGGGAGTTCATGTGGCGTTCTGTGTGATTGGCCGGGGCTTGTCTGGAGTGGGCGTGCCTCTACGGGGCTTCTCCGGTAGTTTGACCACATGGTGGGACTGCGTTTGCCTTTGGGGTGTTTGATCTGTAGTCACCAGCCATTAATGTCTGACCATTCGTTACTCCTGCAGTCTCACCAAATGGCTGCATGTGGGACAAACACCCACACATGCACGTACCCAGATGTGACACATTTCTGTATTTTAGTATTCGCTTGAGGTTTCTTGCACTTTTATTAATTGCTATAAGCTTCAAGAACCAGTTAAATCCCTGACAAGCACAGGGACAGCCCAGCAGTTGATTTCTAAATGGTGTGTGTGTGTATGTTTTTTTTTTTTTTTTTTTTTTATGGACAAGTTGCATTGATACTACATGTAGAGCGTACAGGTTATTTTTGGCTATGTAAAGTGAGGCTGTGTCTTAGAGCTCCCCCTAGTGTACGTTATGTGTTACTGCGATGGTGGCGTGCTGGCTCTGTGCAGGGTGTTCAGCCTTTGAAGTCTGTATGTCCAGCCTGGTCCCTTTTAACACGCTAGGCAGGTTGAAACGGTGGCCATCGTGAACCTGGGTGTTGACCCCTCCCCCCGCCCCTCCCTCTGTCGCCCCAGACTTGCTGGATGCACCTCGACGTCTGCAATGAGCGCCGTGGCTGTGATGTTCCTCCGTGTTGGATCCCCTGGACTCAGTAGGACAAGGATTTGCCAGCGGAGGGCGTCATGAGCGTCGTCATCTCTGGAGGGTTGGAGACGACGGACGCCTCGTACCCGGACATGGCCGCTGGCTCGGAGTAAGTGTGGGCCGGCCACCCCTCTGCTTCTGGGTCGGTACCGGGCCGGCCTTCAACTGGGACTGCATGTGAACCAGCTGCTATGTGTGTCTTGTATCTGCGGAAGTTAAATGGATTAATGAGACAGTTTCATAATTCATCCTAACTTGTGGTTATTATATGTAATATTTTTTAATAGCAGGACGATTGGGCTGCTGCTGTTAAGCTGGGTCCCTCTGGGTGCTTTTGAGGCTTACAGACCCGTAATGGGCGGTTGGTGACAGATTTGCTGCATGTCACATTAAAGGGCCCAATTTCGCTAAATTAGCTCTATCTCTCACACTTGGTACAATGGATGAGTGTCAGTGTATGAGCTGACGACCTCAGATTCTGTTACCTTGATGCCACTCAATGCCGTCAGGCGCCTGGAGGCCTATGCTGCCCCCTGGAGGCCGCTGACTGTAAAGTGCTTCACAGATGAAGCCCTCTGCAACTTTACGGGCCGGATCACTCTGAGTCGTTAACGGGTGAGCGAGGTCCGTGCCAGTGCTGGGTTCTGTGCTAGGAGGGAGCAGCCCGGGTTAGTAACCGAGGAAACGCAGAAAGGTCACTCTTGCTGCCAGCGTGATCTGGAAATGTCCCTGTTTTTGTTAAAGCTAAGTGTGACCTGCGTAAACACAGATTCTGTTTTAGTAACACAAACCGCCTTGATGGTTCTTTTCAGGTACGACCACAGTGTGGCGTGTACGGGGGGGATTATTTGGGCCATAAATTCTTGTATGCATCTGACGGATGCTGTGACGGGGTGCTCTCTCTCTGGCACACCTGGCCCGTGGAGGGTGAAATTCCCGGTAGAGACTCCTCTCTTGTGCAGTGCCCCCCCACACAGGCACTGGCCCCCGCAGGTCTGCCCCGGTTTGTTATTGACAGTGGCTTGGTCCCCGGATATCCGGCTGCGTTTCCGTGACCCTTGCAAAGCGGCTGTCCCCAAAGCCCCTGTTCGTCACGTTTCGTGATGAAGCGGTTTGGCACACTAGCCTCACGATGGCTAGTGTGACCCCCCCCCCCCCCATTTCCGGACCTTCTCCACCTTCTGTTCCCATTCCCTCTTCCAGCTCACTGTCCTCAGTGAGAATTACAGGCATGGCAGTGATCCAGGGTGTGTCTCTAATCCTCAATAAACAAATAAACAAGCAAACTGTTAAAATAGGCTGAAGTCTCTCGTCAGCTCAGTTACTCCCAGCATCCCAGTCCTCATTCAGGTTGTTCTCTTATGCCACCATTTATTTTCTGCTGCCATTGGACCCGTTCCTGCTGTTAATCCCTGTCTGGTACCTTGACCCCGCACCCTGAGCTCCACGCTGCTCCCTGCTGTGTCCCACGGAGAGCCCCACTCACTGACTCCTGCTCCGACGGTGCCCATCACAGAATCGTTTGGAGACGTTGCCCAGGGCAGCCATATTTGAAATTCTGCTGCCGGCTGTATAGCTGTGCCCATCCTGTGCTCCGCCCTCCCGCCCTCCTGTGTCCCCTCTGTGACTCCTCGATTTACCCCTCCTGTATTTCATTCTTTCTTCCTTCCTCTCCCCCTTTTTCCTCTGCTCCAACTCCATGTCCTGCTGAGCCCCTCCACCCCCCCTTTCCCTGTGTAGACGGGGGCCCCCCCCCTCACAATGACAGTGGTTGTAACTAGAATGAGTATGGTGCCCCCCCCACCTCCAGCAGTATCTGCACGTCTGCGCGTGTGGCCTCCGTGTGTCCTCCTGCGTCTGCGGCCTGCGTGTGTCCGTCTGCGCGTGTGGCCTCCGTGTGTCCGTCTGCGTCTGCGCAGTCTGCGTGTGCCTGAGGCCGGCACTTACTCAGGTGAGCCTTTGTGCAGATGAGTCCCTGGCTTCACGCCGTGTGTCACCCCCAGATAAAGGCTTTGGCTTAAACGGCCTGCATTGCGGGCAGATTAGAGGGTTTGTGTGCTACAGCTTATCAGCCCTCCACAGAGAGCCCAGGTGACAAGACAGCTTCTGTGTGTGTGTGTGTGTGTGTGTGTGTGTGTGTGTGTGTGTGTGTGTGTGCGCGCGCGCATGCAGGCCTTTCCCTGGCTGAGGCTTGTATTCCTAGTCTCAGCTGCGTTGCGCTGTCCTAGGAACAGTGAGAGACAGTGGAATAGGGTGTTTAAATTCTGGAATGTCACTCTGTGTACACAGTCGCGCAGCGAGCTCCCTGTGCCGGTATCGGCAGCTTGTTATACCTCCGCCTCGTAACCTGTGGGGCCTGGGGTGGGGCTGCTCACTGAGGTCAGTTCTCATGCTTTTCTGGGTGGTTTTTGCTCTGTGGATCTGCAGTGTAGGTGTCCACTGACCCAGCCGTGTGTCTGTCCAGCAGGCCTGAACCTGTGGAGGCCGCACCCGTGGTGATGAAGGCCAGCTACCCGCAGGCCTACAGCGGCACGCAGCACTCCTACAGCTACACCGGCCTGCCGTACGCGGTGAGCGTCACGCACGCACACAATCGCACCTGCAGCTCTTATGCTCTTTGACTCCATGAAAACCAGTTCTTTCTGTCAAACCTTCATACCTCTGCAAAATAAGGCCGATAAAAGTACAGTAAGGGATAGATATTTGAAATCGGAGCGCTCAGGATAGCGTGGTCCGAAAGCAGAACACAGCAGGTGCACTTGTCTAGTCGTGTGTAAGACATGTCAGAGTGGAACTCAGTACACGTTACCTCCCCTTTCACCATCGCTCAGGATCACAACTATGGTGCACGGCCGCCACCCACCCCGCCCGCCTCTCCGCCTCCTGGGGACCCTCTATTCGCACCAGCCCCCCAGGACGAGGCGTCCCGTGGCACCACACTCAGCACCTCCGAGGACGGCAGCTACGGTGCCGACATCACACGCTGCATCTGCGGCTTCACGCACGACGACGGTTACATGATCTGTTGCGACCGCTGCAGGTGAGCAGGGGACTGAGCGACCTGCAATACAGGGAAGGGTTGCAGTTTTTGTGTGCTTCCTGGGAGTCAAACCCATGACCTGCGCTCTTAGTGCAGTTTTCTATGCCTGCTGTTTGCCTCATAGAAAGTTGTCCACTGCGAGGCGCTGTTCCCACATTCCTGTCCTTTCCGCTCCCTTTGCTGTGAAGGTTGTACGTTCCTCTAATGTTCCTCTAGTGTTGTGGTGTTCTTCTCTTCCACCTCCCCTTTTCGCTTCCTCTGCTATAAGGGCCTTGCGTTCCTCTGATGTTCCTTTGACGTTCTTCAAGCGTTGTTGCGTACATCTCTTCTACCTCCGCTTTCCTCTTCCTCTGCTATGAAGGCCTGACGTTCCTCTGATATTCCTCTCCTCTGCACAGCGTGTGGCAGCACATTGACTGCATGGGCATTGACCGCCAGCACATTCCCGATACCTACCTGTGTGAGCGCTGTCAGCCCCGGACCTTGGACCGCGAACGGGCCATCCTGCTGCAGACCAGGAAGAGGGAGAACCTTTCCGGTGAGCTGAGCCAGGGGTCCGCTGGGTCGGCGACGTCTGAACCACTCTATTTAGTGGGCTGAGTGCAGGCGGTCGTGGGAGGATCTGTATGCATTTTCGAGCGTGCCGTCTGGCTGTTCACGTGTGGACTTGCGCGCGTCTCGCAGATGGGGACACCAGCGCCACGGAGAGCGGTGATGAGGTACCGCTGGAGCTGTACACGGCCTTCCAGCACACGGCCACCAGCCTCATGCTGACGACGGCCCGCGTGCCCTGCAAGTCGGCCGACAAGCGCCGCAAGAGGAGCCGGGACAAGGAGCCCCCCGCCGTCACCGCTCGCGCTAAAAAGGTTGCCCCCCCCTTAACCCTGCTTCAGCATAATAATCAGTACTTTCTGATTGACTGCCAGTTTCTCTATATATTAGATACAGCACTCCGAGGTTTGCGGGTAGAGCATGTGGCTCAGTGGGTTAAGCCTCTGTACCTGTATTCAGAAGGTTGTTGGTTTGAATCCCATCCTCAACAGAATAGTTCTGTCAGTGGGTGACGGCTATGCATTAGTGCCAGTCCATGAACCCAGTAGGTTAGATTAGTGGTTTATCCACACCTTTGGGTAACGTCATAAACGTAATTTCGTTTGACAATAACAATAAAGTGCTTCATTTTTCAAGCATCACAGAAGGTCAGTGGCTGCTCCAAGGTCAGTTGTTGATGCCTCCTTCTCTCCTCCTCTTTCTCCTCCTCTCTCCTCCCTCTCCTCGTAGGCCTTCCGTGAAGGTTCCAGGAGATCCTCTAGGGGCAAGGTAAGAGAGGTGAACATGCCCTCCCACTACGTCCCAGATGGTAGAGTTGCGTCTCAAACCTGTGTCCCTGCCTACTCCAGGCCTCCCCACCGGACCTGGACCCCACGGACTCCCCATCGCTGTGGGAGAGCAAAATGAAGATGTGGATGGAGCGCTATGAGGAGGCCAGCAGCAACCAGTACAGCGAGGAGATGCAGATCCTGCTGCGGTTGAAGGGGGCTGCGGGGGTGGAGGCCCTGACATACAGTGGCCACGGGGCAGCCTTCAAACCCCCTGTGGAGGTGAGGGGGGGGTCTGCTTTGATGGGGCGAGCTCACGCACACACGCGCGCGCATGGGCACGCAGACGACCTCACTGCTACATCCCTGCCCACTCAGAGTCACCTCCAGAAGAACAGGAAGATCCTGAAGGCGGCGCGTGACCTGGCCCCAGACACGCTCATCATCGAGTACCGTGGCAAATTCATGCTCCGGCACCAGTTTGAGGCTAACGGCTACTTCTGCAAGAGGTGCGTGTCCCTCGCTCTGCTCCACGCACCGTGCCACAGGGACTTCAGCAGTGCTTATTGTCCTAAGAAGGCCCGCATCTGACCCGATGCCCCGCCCACTCTGTCCAGGCCCTACCCCTTTGTGCTCTTCTATTCCAACTTCCATGGCCTGGAAGTCTGCGTGGATGCCCGTAACTTTGGGAATGAGGCCCGCTTCGTCCGGCGTTCCTGCACACCTAATGCAGAGGTGAGCGTGCTGGGGCGTGACCTGAGCCCTACTGGGGAGACCTGTTGTGGGTTTGTGTGGGGTGACTGACCAGCCCGACCTCCGCAGGTGCGTCACGTGACTGAGGGCGGCACGTTGCGTCTGTACCTGTTCTCTGCGAGGCACATCACCCGGGGCAGCGAGATCACCATCGGCTTCGACTATGACTACGGCAGCTGGTGGGTTGCGGGGGTGTCGCCCCGTAGGGAAGCTGAGCTCCTCATTGGCTGGTAGTCTGTCTTGGTGGGCGGGGCCTTCTCACACGCCTGCCTGCTCTTTGCAGTAAATACAAGGTGGACTGTGCCTGCCTCAGGGGACACCCGGAGTGCCCGGTCCTGCGGCGACCCGCTGAGCCCACGGAGAACCTGGGCGAGTCACGGCGCCGCCGTGGCCGCCGGGACAGGGAGGCGATCGGGGAGAGGGACAGTGAGGGGACCCAGAACCAGAACATCGCTGTGGACGGCGATGGTATCAAGGGCAAAGCTACCAGCGAGAACAAGCAGCGGAAGATGTCCCCGCTTCGCCTCTCCATTTCTAACAACCAGGTACAGCCATGGCCATGCCCCTGGCCACACCCCCGGCCACACCCCCTGCTTCCCACACAACCCCGCCTCCTCATCAGTCTCTCTGCCAGTGACAGAAATGCTCATCTGCCACTAGGGGGTGCTGTCTATCATGTCCATCCAGTCCGTCCTCTTCTTCCCCGTAAACTTTCTCTCCTTCTGCAGTCAGCCGTAACACGTGACTGATCGTCACCGTCACTGTTTCTGCACTCATGGACCATGAATGTCCTGCAGTGTGGCCGGCCGTTTGTAGATCTCCCCCCGCGTGACGCGTCTCCCTTGCTGAATCGGAACAGCTGAGCGATGAGAGGGTTAGGGGTGTTGTGTGTGCGCCCCAGGGTTGACCTGGATCCTTGCCTGGATGAAGGTCTGCCGCAGTAGAAGGTTCCCTCACCAACTGGACAGGAAATAGCCTGTAGAGTGTAGCAGGAGATCTGTATGTCCTGCAGAGCGTATCTCTGAGCTCTGTTTGGGATCGCACGCTGAGAAATACGTACCGTCTCCAGAGCTGTATCCTCCTGTGAAGACCAGCATTTCGTGCTCTTTGGCCAGACTTGGTTTACAGACTTGGGCTCTTACAGTTGCTACGACGACTCAGGGGGTGGTGAACAACCTGTACGGTTGCTGTGACCAGACTGATTTAGCGCTTACCGGACGGGTCTGCTTGTACTGGTCCTGGAGGCCGCAGACCGAACAGGATGGCCAACAGGAGCAAACACCCAACCCGTGCCCCCCGGTCTGTAGTCAGACTGCCTGGAGAGTCATGATAAAGCCCCCCCTCTCCCTTCTTACAGGAGCCTGAGTTTATTGAGGATATAGAAGAGAGAACCTGCGTTAGTGGTGAAGTAGAGATGGAGTCAGGGGAGCCGGTTGCCGAGGGGAGGAAGAAGATGGTAAGTGTGGCCAGCCGCGGTGAAAGGGGGGCGACCCAGCGTGGGACTCCAGCCTCCTCCGGGACCACCCCCGACTGCTTCTGCAAACGGCTGCTGCGGCTCGCTCAGCGCGTCTCTGGTGTCGTGTTCCTGCTAGTGCAGCCATCCTTGCCAGGTTTCTCTGCCTTGCTTCACTGATCCCCCAGATGCTGCAGAATACCACCGAGTCTCCAGCAAAAGGACGGGCAATTCTGTGCATTTCTGGGGGGGGGGGGTCTCCTCTTAAATCCTCATTGTCCTCTTTGCCTTTAAACTGCCTGAGAAAAACAGGAAGTACTTCTTGACAAAAGCACCACTTCACGCAGCTGATAATTTTAATTATTAAAGAAATCGTCCAAAAGTGGGGAAAAAATTGTAATAGCCTCATAAAATCACCTATTCAACCCTCACTTTTATCCTACCGTAGTTTAAGTGGCATCATTTTTGACAGTCACATCAGACAGTCCCTGGAGTAACTGGGCATTAATTATGGTCGCATGACATCACATTCTGGCATTTGAACCGGCGACCTTCTGGTCGCAAGTATAGCATCCTAACCCGCTACGTCACACAGCCATCTCCGGCTGATTTGTGGCAGGCTTGAGGTAGTGTAAACATACGGTCAATCTTGCCGGCGTATTCCAGTGGAAAATGAACATCCTGCCATTAAAGGAATCCGCTGTTAGACAGGTAGTCAGCCGGGTTCAGGAGGAGATGACACTCAGTACCCACTGCCAGTGCTCCGTTGATGTTCTGCTTGTGAGTGGAGGTGTGGGTTTTTCATGGAACCCCTGGTCTGGGGGCAGTGGCTGTAGTGGTGTGGTTCTGGATGATGGGTCCCGACCCATAGCCCGGTGCCCTCGCCACTCGCTGGACTTTCATTGGCTGTGTCCAGTGGGTCTGAGGCGAGTCCGCTGAGCGTGAGAAAGGAAGGCCGACCTGCGCTTACGCTTTGAGGCCCATGCCCCGCCCCCCTCCGTCCACGCCCTCTGACCCCGCTCCTTTCTCCGCAGACGCGTGAGGAGAGGAAGATGGAAGCCATCCTGCAAGCCTTTGCGCGGATGGAGAAGCGGGAGAAGCGGCGGGAGCAGGCACTGGAGCGCATTGGCACCAAGGCCGAGGTGGGGGGGCGCGGGGAGGTCAAGGAAGAGCCCCCCGCTGCCCCCGAGGTGGAAGCCCCGGTTGCAGCTCAGGTACATGTGGCCCCTGCGGTCAAACCTCCGGGCTCTCATGCCGTCCTGCTGGGCGCTGATGTCATGGCAGGTGGCGTGTTCACCCCCATGAATCAGCCTCCTGTCCTGACTCCCCTCCTAGCGAATGAATATCCTGTGTTTGTGGGTTGTTAGTGATCATTGTCATGACAACCACCGTGTCTGATGCCACACGCCGCCACCTTATGGACAGTGACAGTTCATCTTGGTCGTTGAATAGGAAATACTTACGTGTTCAGTTTGTTTTCCCCTGATCTTCCCTGTCTTTCTGTCTGTCTTCTGTTCCCCAGCCCCCAGTGGATGAGGTGAAAGAGGAGCCAGGCATGAAGCCGCTAGCGAAGGTGAGCCGCTCCAAGCAGCGCAAGAGCCTGTCGCGGAGCCGCACCCACATCGGGCAGCAGCGGCGCCGCACACGCACCGCCAGCACCTGCTCCGACCTGCCGCCCGCCTCACCTGGCGAGTGCCCGGAGGCCCCGCCCCCCGAGGCTGGCGAGGAGCCCGTGCCCCCCATCCCTGAGCCTAAGCCGCCGCCAGCCCAGCCTCCGGACACCACCCCCCCACACAGCAGCTCGCCAGCGCCCCCTAGCCGTGCCACTAACAAGTACCCCAAGACTAAAAAGGTACCATTTCTGCCGGATCATGCCCATCATCACCATGGCAACCCTTGCGTCATGCCGTATGCTGTCACAGGCCTGGGAATTTCAGCCTCAGCCACAGGGTGACATGACAAGGGCTGATGGCTAATGCTTCCCCGCCCCCCCACAGCACTTAATGAGCGAGTGGATGGTGGAGAAGCAGGAGTCCCCGGTCTGCACGCCGGAGCCCCCCCCGGAGCGGCCGCTGCGCATCAGCAGCGACCCTGAGGTTCTGGCCACGCAGCTGAACTCGCTACCGGGCCTGGCCTGCAGCCCCCAGGTGTACAGCACGCCCAAGCACTACATCCGCTTCTCCTCGCCCTTCCTGTCCGGCCGGAGCCCCACCATACCTGGGGTGCCGTCTACCCGTCGGCGCTCCCGTGACCTGCCCGAGACCCCGCCCACGTCAGGCTCCTGTAAGAAGGTGAGTGTGTGTCAGGCTACGGGGCAGAGCTGGGGGCGGCGATTGGAGTTGGGGGCGGGGCAGGAGCCTCACTGTGGCCCCGTGTCTCCATGCAGCGCTGGCTCCGCCAAGCCCTGGAGGAGGAAGGTTCCCCTGGACCTGCGGGCCGTCCGGTCTCGGTGCTGCCCAGTGAGATGCCGCTCAGCCCGCTTAATGGTGACTCTGATGCCGCTGTCCTGCTCGGAGGTGGCTCTCCTTCACCAGGTACTCCTCCCTGCCTCGCCCCTCCCCCGCTGCCACTGCCCAGTCTATCTTCCCCACCCCCCAATAATCCACTGTGTTATGTCCTCCCACAGAACTGCTCACTCCCCTGAAGAAGCGCCGCGTCTCCCCGCTGGGCTCCTGCCTGTCGGAGGGCTCCACGCCGTATGACTCCCCTTGTGCCACACCTACCCGTGTGGAGCTCCCAGAGGCGCTGGGTGCCCCACTGCCCCTCCCCCTCGCCACCCCACCCCGCTCCCAGCCGGAGGACCCAGCCACGGACTCCCCTGGCAGACATACGGGGCCAGCGCTGCCTCCCGCTGTGCCACAGGAAGTGAGTGACTATTCAGGGGGTGCGGACAGGGATGGGGACAGGGGCACTGACAGGAGTGTGTGTGTGTGTGTGTGTGTGTGTGTGTGTGTGTGTGTGTGGGGTGGTACGCGGGGGGTTTGTCCACAAGTTTTTTTTTTTTTATATATTTAATTGAAAAACATCAGCAGACAGATGCTGTGTCATTTTGTTCTTGCCTGACTTCAGGCGATGTCACTTCCTGTTCCCACCTACCAGGTGAAGGTCGAGCCTCCCCCTTCGCTGCTTTCGTCCCCCTCCGCACAGACATCCAACGTGGATGCGCCATCTCTGGAGGTCAAGTCGGCAGGGGTATGGAGCCCACGGCGCCCCCAGTCCCAGGACCGGGAGGAGGTGGGGGCGGAGGGGCCCTTGGATGCCCCCCAGTCAGACACCTCCCAGGCGGACACCCCCATGCCCATGTACCCCGCCTGGGCACGAAGCCCAGAAAAGGCGTCCTTTCCCCTGGTGAACTCCAATCTGCGTGACCTGACACCCTCCCACACGTTGGAGCCTGGGGCCTTCGGGGAGGGGGCCGGCTATTACCCCTGTCCTGAGGACACCGTGGCGTTCGCACGCTTCTCTGGGGGGGATGGCATGGGGGAGGCTGGCGGTGGGACCTCACAGAACCCCCCCCAGAAAAAGAAGGTGAGCGGGTTAGGGTTAGGGTTAGGGTTAGGGTTAGATTAGCAGGTTAACCTGAGTTTACTGCTCGTTGAGTGTTTGTTTCTCAACCCAGTCCTCCCAGCTTCCAGCCACTCAAGAGCACTGAATAGCTGGTACAGGTGCACTGGGAGCTAAGAGAGAGCACCAATGTGGACTGTCTGGGAGAAACACTGGCCTTTCTGGCTTAAAATCAGTGTCCTTCCAGTTGCACTCAGTACAGCTACTGCTCTCTCGGGCCATGTGATCGTGTTAGCATCCCTGCTAACATGCTAATGCCGCACTCCTCTCCCAGGTGTCCCTGCTGGAATACCGGAAGAGGCAGAGGGAGGCCCGGCGCAGTGGCTCCAAGGGCGGGGACGACTCCCCGGTGTCCGGGGCCCTGGGCCTGGCTGGGCTGGCCGTCGAGCCCTACCCCGGCGACCCGGAAAGTGTGCTGGAACCAGCGCCCCCTGGCCTGGATGCCCCGCTGTCTGCCCACACCTCCGAGGGCGAGCAGGAGGGGGGGGAGGCTCGCTGGTAAGAAGGGCCCCTGTGGATGTGGAGGGGTGACAGGCAGGGGGTCAAGAGTGTAATAACTGCTCCTCCTTCTCCTCCTCCTCCTCCTCCTCCTCATGGCAGGACAACACCAGTGAAGCGGCCCAGGGAATGGAGCGGGCAGCGAGCAGGGCTCTTCAGCGCCACCCGCAGGGACGGAGACAGAGGTGCGTGTGAGGGAGCACTGTGCGGGGACACTCGCAACACCGGCTGTGTGGTTTCACCCCGCAGCGTCACTCAGTGTATCTGCATGTGTTTCCAAACCACAGATGACGGAGAGGTGGACCGAGACGACCATACTGTGGGGAAGGAGGACTGCAGCGCCTCCCCCAGGCCGCGCCGGGTGTGTACGACCGGCGGGCAAACAGGCACAGGTTCTGCAGTCACGGCTTACCCTAACCCTCATAGGGTTTGCTGATTTTAGCTACCTCTGAGTGACTTTCTGTGTGTACCCCCCCCCCCCCCCCCCCACCCCACAGCTGGACTCTCCGCCCATGAGCCACGCCACCGGGAACGAGGATGACGACACCCCCGCCAGCTCTCCTGGGAAGGTGGCTCCGCTAACCCCCAGCAGGCAGGCCGCGTTTGGGGGCCAGGGGGTGCTGCTGCACTCCCCGAAGGCCCCACCACAGCCGCCAGGCTCACCCTACTGTGCCCAGCGGACGTTCCACCAGGGGGCGCCACAGTCCCAAAGCCAGCCCCCGGCTTCTCTGCCCACCGCCCCTTTTGCCCAGTTCAGTGTGCAGAGAGTACTCCCGCCCCCTCCCCCGCCAGTGCCCCCCTCATCCGGACCCTACTTTTCTGGGGGGGGCCCGGGGCCTACTGGCCCCTTCCCTGGCTACCAGCCTACGGTGGTGACCTCATTCGCCCCCGGGTCCCAGACTGTCCTGCAGACGCACCACACCTTGCACTACCAGAGCTCTGGGGCTGCGGCCCCGCCCCCGCCTCCTCCCCCACCCCCGCCTCCGCAGCAGACTCTACCCCTGTTGCACATCAGCATGACCCCAGCCATTCAGCAGCATCAGATCCTGCTGACGGCAGCCCCTCCGCCCCCACCTCCTCCCCCCCAGAGTCAGGCTCCCCTCCAGCAGCAACAGCAGCCCAGTGCCAGCACCCTTCTGTCCCTCCAGCAGGCCCCCCCTCCCCCTCCGCCTCCTCCCCCCACCTCATCCGCTAACCCCCCCCTGCACTTTCAGGGCTCAGGAGGTTACCAGACCTCCCTTCTGCACCCTGCAGCCTCCGTCCCTTCTTCGTATCCATCCCACCAGCAAGGTGCCGTCCCTCCCCCTCCACCCCCCCCAGCTCAGCCGGGCCCCGTGCCAGCCCTGCCCGTCGCCTCTCGTGGGGCCGCCTCCTTCCTCGGCTCGGGGTACCTGGGCTCTGGGTGGCACTGAGGCCGGTGTGTGACCGAACAGGGTACTTCTCCGAGCAGATATCTACGGGAGCCAGTCCAACATAAAGACCTGAAAGAGAACTAGCCCTTGGTGCTCATCACCGTCCTTTGGCGTCTTCGGATATTTAACAGTTCGTAATAACGTTTTATTTCTCTCTTTCTCTCCAACCCCTCCCCATACCCTTCTTTGCCCTCCCTCCGTTTGTTTGACATTCCAGCTGTTATGTCTGTTCTGTCGTTTTCTCTTTGGGGTGTTCGTTTGCTCGCCCCTCCTGTTCTTCTTCGTTTGTTCGGTTAGCTCGTTTTGCTCGTTTTGCTCGTTTTAACAGAGGAAAAAGCTTTTTGTAAAAAGAAAATACAGAAATTATTATTTTTATTATTTTTGTGTGGAATAATATGGACCTGTATTCTTGCGAAAGAGATTCAGAGCCTCTGAAGTGTCTTGTGTTTGCGTGCGTGCGTGCGTGTGTGCGTGCGTGCGTGTATGTGTGTGTGAGAGACGGCAGGCACGTAGGAGGATGATGGTATGTCCTTGCGGAGGCTCATGGGAAGGATGCTAGGGGGTAGGATGGTAGGAGTTCTATTCTTAGATTACATGGGTATTTGTAGAAACTGTAACTTAATGTATAAATGGTGAATCCCCCTTTCACACTGTAAATAGTTTCCTTCCTCCTGTGCTTGTACAATTTTCTCATCCCATTTTTGAAAATTGTAAATATGAACTTATGAAAACCTGAATGTTTCTGTGATTGGCACTTTTATTTCTTTTACTGAATTATTATTATTTGTTGTTATTTTTATTTTTTTATTAACCATTTGTGCGATTGAAAGAGACCAGCGGACCAGCACTGGCTGGCCCTTTTCATAGTCCATAATAACAAACTGCATTAATACCAGTTTCTAACCAGCCTGTGTGGTTTTTGCGTCAGTATTTCTTTACCTGGTGAAAACTGTCACACACTCACTGTAACCGTCTCTTGAATCAGGAGCTCTGTTCCCTGCTGTGACCTGAGGAACCGATTCTGATGAAATCAGCGTTTTCTGGATTTTGTGCACGAGGATTTGCACGTGAAAGCTGAAATAGGATTTGTTAAATGACAAAGCATTCACATAGGGGGTGACAGTGGGTGGCTCTGCAGATCATCCTAGCATTAGGGGTTTGAATCCTGCTGTGTGTGTGTCTGTGTGTGTCTGTGTGTGAGAGAGCGTGAGCGAACAGGACTTCCTCCTCCCTGCAGGTGTTAGTGAGTTTCTGGATGCTCCTCCCCTTCTCTAGGTGTCTGGGAAATTAAACGGCCATTACACTCGCTTTCAGATACCGTCTCCCTGGGCAATTAATTTTAGTAGCAGCTCAGCAGAATAAAAAACAGCACACAGATCATCTGCATAATGGAAATTTTTATTAAGTCATTTATATATTTCTTTAGCTTATTGTTAAGTAATGGTGGTACATCTTCATGGATGGATAGAGCTCTGTGCAGTGATGGTCACCCGGTGGTTTGTGCTCAACCCTGTAATGTAACTCTTAATGGCATCATGTCTCCGTAGGATCTCTGCAAATCACCCAGTCTGAGCCCCTGAGCCGCACGGTAAACCCCCCCCCCCCGTACACACGCCGTTCCCTCCTTAGTGCACTGCTGGGTCAGACCGGGTGAGTCCTTCACCTGCACCACAAGTCATAGGCCAACCTTAATGTAATGTGCTCCTTCTCTGTAGGCCTCTATGGAATATTTTACCCAGTGGCACTTCCTCACACTGCACACTTCCAGTTCCTCCACGTGCAGTGTCCATAAACACTCTCTCACAGCCAGACGGCATTTCACCGGATGCTTTCCGAAGGTGGACTGGGCTGGGCCAGACCATGGGAGATCCTCTGCTTCATTTTTCTCTGGCAGGATTACCTTGTACAGCCTGTGTCCCCAAGCAGGAGTGTCTGATCCCAGGATGCACAGGACATCCGTGCCGTGGTGTACAAAGTGCTGTTCCCTTTGTCCAGGATGAACAAGCCCAGCCTGGATTGGGTCTGTGGCTGTAGGCCGGATCCTTTGCGTGGATTTATTGTGCAGGATTTTGTTTGTGGAAAGCATTCTCAATGAAGGTTAGTGGAACTTTGGGTGGTACCAGACTCTGTTACCCCTGCCAATCAGCTGCCCCCCCCACCCGCCCACAGCTCAGAGGAGGTCATCCAACCAGTGACAGAAGAATTTGGCTGAAAGCGTTATGGATGCACATTAGTGTGGTCTGAGTAGTATACTGACCAATCTGTGTGGATCTGTATGCGTATTAGGCATTTCCACCTGTGGAGAAAGTCTGAGTGTTAGAGGCAATAACCGTAGGAAGAATAACAAGCTGATAAATGGCAAGATTATTTCCATCTCCAAGTCAATGTACAAATAAGTTGCTCTGCAATACCGGTAATAACCACCAGATGTCAGCAAGTAGAAATGGCATTAATGTTCAAACGTTAAAGCATTTAAGATAAGATAACGCTTCACTGATCCTAGGTGGCAATCCTTTAGTGGAAAGGCCAGCTGCTATTACTGTTGCTATGTCAGGGCTGTCCTGCAGCACATACCCTTGCTGTCCGCTAGCAGCTTCTCGGCCATGAGTTCGTCCTGCCGGTTGCCAAGCACGAAGGCCAGGAAGGACAGGATGAGGGCGTCCAGGATGCCCATGATGGCCAGGATGTAGGCCCAGCGCACGGAGCACGCGCCCAGCGTGTACTTGTCGGTCTGCTCACCGCACATCTGCTTCACCTCGTCCGAGTCCCACCCGTCTGGGTAGATCATGCAGCCCAGAACTAGACAGGTACCTGGTAAGTGGAGGAGGGGGGGAGAGAGAGCTTAGAAGCGTTAGCGAAAAAAGCGTTAGCATCTAATGTCAGCTTGCTGTATGACGTTGAAGCCTCACTGCTGGAGGCGCATTAGCCTAAGGCGGCAATATAATACTGAGGTCCGTCGTAGGCAGCATGCCTGAGGCAGCGGTGAACAATAGCATTTATGCTTTCTTTGTGAGTGGACAGCAGGAGGTGCTGTTTCCACATCCCAGCAAGGGCCTGCTGGCACACACGCAGACCTCGCCGGCCCACGTTCACGCCCCTCATAAATAAACCCGAAGCCGGCCCACGTTCACGCCCCTCATAAATAAACCCGAAGCCGGCCCACGTTCACGTCCCTCATAAATAAACCCGAAGCCGGCCCACGTTCACGTCCCTCATAA